TATAGGCCCAGGACGTCTGCGGGAGGAAGCGGGCACCCGAGCCTCCGGCCGGCAGTGGCTGTCCTGGGTGCGCGTGGGCACGCGAGCGACTGGCGCTGTCCGCGGTGCTGAAGCGGGTCCCGGCGCGGCTCCCCCGCCTCGCGCCGAGACGACCCGGCGGCGGCGGCTCCTCTGCGGGCTTCGCTGGTCCCGGTCCCGACGCTGCGGCGACTGCGGCAGCTGCGGAGCCTCAAGAGGGACCCACGTCTCCTACCCCTCCCGCCGCCCCTGCTTCTTAACACAGAGCCGAAGCGGGGGCGCCTCCCGCCCCAGCGTGTGCGCCTGCGTTCGCGCGAGCATGTCAGCGCGCGGCGAGCGGGGGAGCGCCTGTGTGCGCGTGTGTGCGCGTGTGCGCGCGTGTGCGCGCGCGTGTGGAGGGGTCGCTGGGACAGTGACCTGGCTGGCTGAGAATTGCCAGGAGCTGAGTTTAGGAAGGTTAGAGGGGTCCGTGTCACCTCGTGCAGCCTCGTGTGTCTTTTAAAACGACTTAATGTTTCGGGCCAGTTTGTGCGTGTGTTGGCACGCAGGCGTGTGCACGAGTCCTCATGCACAGTCAGTGCTATTTCGAGGCCTGACTCTGTGGGCTGGAGACTCAGTGGTGTGGAGAAGCCTTAAGCCATGTCCCTCTGGAGGAGGGACAGCGGGGCTCTCCTCTCTGGAAGGCTCAAAAACTGGGAAGAGACACCATCTGTCTGGCCACGTGACTTGGACTCTTCCCCCCCTCCCCCCCAAATGTTCAATAGAATAGAAGGGGTGACAGTGGCTGCCCGGTGCCGAGCTGGATCTTCCGGGAGAGTGTGGGGTCCCGAACCCGATCCAGCCGTAGGGAGACCAGGGCCGGAGGGAGTGTCTGCCGCAGATGGGACTGGGTTGGACATGCAGAAGCACCTGCCCCTGCGAGGTGTGTGTCGGGCCCAGTGTCCCACACCCCCTCACACGCTCCTCCCCCCAAAGCCCCTCTCCCAATCCGCTCCCAGCACCTTTCCCGCCCTGCCTCTCTCCAGAGCTTCTCTTGTCCCTCTGGCCCTCATGATCCTAATTCTTTGTCCCCTCCACCCCTGGAATGTGCTTCCCTTCCCTAACTCAAAAGAAGAGCTGAAGCTCCTCCCCCGGCCAGTGACATCACGTTTCCAATAGCAACTAAGGATTCTGCAGACCCAACAGCAAAAGCCCCCAGTGGGGACAAAGCAGGGTCCTCTCCACACTTAAGCGATATTCTGAGCAGTGGAGTGGGGAGGAGCCACACCCCTCCCATCAGGGTCCCGCTCCCTGTCACCCCCATAGTTCTCACCAGTCGGCTGACCCCACCCCTTGCCCCAGAGCCAAACAAGGACACCTCGGAACCCCTGGCGCTGAGAAGCAGGGGCCACAGCGTCCGGCGTGCTCCCTCTCCCGGCTCCTTCTCGCCACAAAGGGAATCTGTGGCCGGGGGCTAATTACCTGCAGCCCCGCTTCTCTCTGTTCTGGGATTGAGGGTCACAGTGGAAGGAACACTGGTCCTGGGGACACTTACTCATCCCGTGGGCTCACAGGAGGGCACGTGGGGTGTGCTCCAGGGCCCAGAGCTGGCCCCATCTCCGCAGGGTCTGTGGCTAATCCCCAAACTTCTGTAGCCTCTGGCAGGTCACACCCTGGAGGCTGCACAGATGCATGGAGTGGGCAGCCCCTGGGACAGCCAGCTCCAGTGTGGACCAGACTGCATCAGGACCGTGCGGGGAGGAAGGGACTGGAAGAGTGTGCCTCAGCCGGAGGGCCAGGCCCCTCCCACCCACCGCTCCCCCAGTGGGGGGCCTGAGCAGCTTCGACTGTCCTGTCCGAGGAGAGGCAAGTCCTACACATTCAGACCCCGTGAGCTGGTCGTTACCCGTCTGGGAGCCTGGAATTAGCCGTGAGCTGCCAGACCCGGCGAAGCAGGGCTTTTTTTCCCTTCAGGACACAGTTTGCCAGCACAGCACCGCCTCCCCCAGGCCGCAGGTGCTTCGACTTCCATCTGGAGTCCCTCACACAGGTCCCCGGAGTCCAGGGATGGGTGGGGGCTGTGCCTGCCCCCCAGGACTCAGCCCCCTTTCATGAGCAGACTCTCTTGGGCTCCACTCTACATTTGCCCTGTGGGCTTTTGCCATGTCCCCGTCATGGGGGAGGGGGACCAGGGGCAGCAGAAGGAGGCTTTGACCTGGCTTCGCTCTGCTGTGACTGATGAACCAGAGGCTTGGACCCCTCTGAATCCTGGTGAGTCAGATTCTGGGGGGAAGGCCGAAGAGACCCGGGGTGCTGGCCCTGGCTCCGGGTGAGGAGGGAGTCCCTCTTCTGCCCGGGCCTCCCCATGGGAAGTTGCCACCTCTTTCTGCTCAGCAGCCTGTCCTTCCTCTGGGAACTGCAGCCCCATGTGGAGACAGCTGCTCCTTCCCCTCCCCCACCCCCACCTGGCTCCCGGAAAGGCTGTCAATCATAGACACAGCCCACTCCTGGCCTCAGCTGATTGGTGGAGGGGTTGTCACATGACCCAAGCAGACCACTCAGGTTCTTCCCTAGGATTTTGGCCAGATCAAAACCTGGGGCAAGACCCCATTTCCACATCCTCTCTGGAGGTGAATCCCTGAGAACTGGGGCTCAAGAACCACCTGTGGACACATTTCTGTCAAGAGGACACTCGTTTGAGAGGAGGAAGCTGACAGGCAGGAGGAGCAGGAATTGATTCCAGACACATCGCCCACGGGGCCAAGTGGACAGAGGATGGGCTTTCCTCCAGCACCTGTCTGCTCCGAGGCCTGGCTCCGACGCAGGACTGGGAAATGGGTCCTGCTGTCAGCAGGCCTGAGTCAGGGTCTCTGTCCCCTGACCTGGGGAAGCCCGAGGACTGTCACGAAGAGCAGCTGCAGACACCAGTGAGGCCGATGTGCCCTCACACCCCGTCCACACGGATCGCTGCATGCCTCCACCACAGTGTCCATCCTGTCCCTGTCCCTGTCCCTGCCGACTCCCCAAACCCCACCTTTCCTGGAAAGTCATCTTCTCAACGTCACAAAGTCCCCACACATCCCACCGTGAGCAAGACTGACCGTTCAGAGTTAACTCACTCGGCAGACGTTTCTGAGCACCTACGACGTGCCAGGCGCTGCTCCGAGGGCGGGGGGTGCAGCAGCGGCAAAGGCAGACCCCGACTCGAAGGACCGGCGCACACACACGAGGACCTCAGAGCCCCTCGCGCAGCCTCACGCGCTCTGACGAGCAGCACAGCTGAATAGGAGGGCGCAGAGTGGTGGGCCGTGGGGGGGTTCGACGAGCGTCCCTTCGAAGGACGTGGCCTGGACGTAAGTGACTCTTTTAACAGATGAAACGTGGCAGAAGGGATGGCGCGTGACTTCCGAGGTGAGGTGGAGAGAGGACAGCATCCCAGGCACTGTCCCTCTTGGGTCACCGGCTCTGAGGGAAGCTGCCAGGGCTATGTCATGAGGACTTTCACCAGCACCGGGAGAGGCCATGTGGAGAGGAGGTCATGTCGATGGCCTCCTGCCAAGGGCCAGCACTAGCTCGCCAGCCATGGCCGTGAGCCGTCCAGCCCGGGTCGGCCTCCAGAATGACGACGGTCCTGGCCGACGTCTTGCACTCCACGAAAGCCCCGAGCTTGAGCACCGCAGCACGCTGCTGCAGGATTCCTGACCACAGCCGCGAGAGAGGATAATGCGATTGCTGGTCTGCGCTACGTTTCGAGGGGTGGGGAGGTTGGTCACCCAGCAAAGACGACACTGCCCGATCGGTACAGGGTGTCAGTCCAGGGAATGCTCCACCCCTAAGAGACACTTGAGAAGCTGTCTGAACGAAATGAGAGCAAACTATGCAAATATCTGCGGGAGAGCGTTTCAGGAGCGCGAATGGCAAGTGCAAAGGCCCTGGGGTGGGGTGGGGGGTGTGTGTGACCTGGGGCCAGTCAGTGAGGGAAGACGGAGGGGAGTCGGCTGGAGAGGTCGGGGGCCAGACCCCGCAGAACCGGGTAGGTTACGGTGAGGACTTCAGTTTTATTTAAGCGCGGTGGCTACGGGGATAACCAAGGGGGGAAGCGGGGGGCCTGAGCGGGAAGCCACTGGGATAATTCGTATGCCATGTGGGAGGTGTAGGGGCGACAAGACGCGGGACAGGGAAGCGAGGGGTCAAGAACCACTCCAGAGGTTTTGTCCTGAGCAACAGAGGGCGGCGGTCTGCGTAGCAAGCACGGGAACGTGGGGGTCCAGTGGGCTCTTTCAAGTAGGCATCACGATTCCCATTTTCTTATAAAGCCCCCGCTCGGCACTGCCACTGATGCCACGAACTGACGCCCTCTGTTTGCATTTCTGTTCTGTTACACTTGTTTTCTGTTTGTCCTTTGATTTTTTTTCATTGACTTATGAGTTATTTAGAAGTGTTTAATTCCCAAGTATTTGGAGAATTTTCCAGATATATTTCTGCTGTTGATTTTTACTTTAATTTCAGTATGATGAGAGAATGTCCATTCTCTGATTTTAAATACACTGAGACTTGTTTTACGGTCCATAATATGGTTTTTCTTGGTGAATGTTTTGTGTGCATTAGAGGAAATTGTGCATCCTTCTGCTGTTGGGCAGAGTGTGCTAATAAATGTAGATAAATCTCACTGGTGTTTTAATTGGCATTTCCCTGATGACTAATTATATTGAGCCCCTTTGCATGTGCTTATTGGCCTTATGTATATTTTCTTTGGAAACATGTCCTTCGAATCTGTTGCCCACTTCAACTGGGTGATTGTCTTCTTAATATTGAGTTGTAAGAGTTCTTCATACATTTTGGATGAAAGTCTTTTATCAGATACGTGTTTTGCAAATATTTTCTCCAAGTCTCTGACTTTC